GCCCACCCATTAGTACCAGATTTTTTTGTTTTTAATTTCACCTTTCATCATCCTCATCCTCTGAAAAAAATTTTGAGCCTCCCCTAGATTGAAATCGTTCCGCCGCCGTTGCCCTAATAATAACAATAAATGAAAACAACAACAACGATCATGAAACATACCACAGGTCGATGATAGCCGAGATATCAAAGAAACGTCGAAGAGGACAAAACAAACTAATAAATCACAGTTATAAGTTTAGCGTCAATGAGTGCCATCTATTGACGTTAAAAAATGTAAGTTTATATTTCGGATGTGGGTGTGTAAGGGAGAAAAGCAGATTTTGGCATCCGAAATCTCTATGATCTTATAAAATCTTTCGGAATCTTTCAAAATCACTAAGTAGAATTATAATGTGAGGTTTCCTTAGAGATATCACTGAATCAAAAAGGAATAATGAATGAAAAGAATAAAAAGATGAGAGCAAAGTTTGGAAAATTTCTAATCTATAATACGCCGTCCATATTTGCGCCTATAATAATATACTACTAAGTCTCCTTGATCACCAGCTGTTTTTCTAAGAACTTCTTCTGCTACAAAGTCGGTTAGTCATTCAGCGCCTTGTGCCAAGTGAATATTCAACTCTTGATAGCGTCCTATCGTCATTTTGACAATTTCTTTAAAATTATGATTCGCAGAAGGAGTGAGACAATGTATAGGAACCGAAATATTTTTATCGTTCAATTTTTTTAATATTCCTTCAAAATATATTGGGCCAGCAAATCTAGTCTGTTTCCTATATGCTTCACCGCCGTTAGCATTTCTGTCTCTATTTATTGCTGATACTTCTTTTGCCGGTGCGTCTCCGATTAAAATTACTTGAGATATTCCACCTGGTTGTTCATTTTGCTGAAATACATACCATAGTCCTATATCCATCGTTTTTTCACAATCACCGTTACTCATAGCAGTAATATGTATCATAAAGTTTCTTAAATTATTCGGTTTTGTCTCCCAAGAAGAACTCTGAAGAATATCATCGTCTTTGTAATCATAGGCTCGATAAACTACAAATTTCATCTGAAATGCAACACTAGATAAATTTGTTTCATTTAAAATACGCTCAATCCGTTCAAACATCATACATGATAGTGTCTTTGCCGGCTGATAATAAAGTTGGCATAGAGGCTGTTGTATACATCAGTAGAAGTATACGTGGAGATCCTGAAACAAAGTTTGATCCTCAATTTTGTTCAAGTAAAAATTTTTCTACAGCCTCCATATCTCCTGTCGATAATCCAATCATAAAATCTTTAGAAGTTTCGTGCTCCTTCTTACGCTGACCTATGCCAATTTGTTCTGTGCCACATTTACTCTCATAACGTGCGTTACGAGGCTTATTTAAATTTTCATAAAGAGTTGAGCCTAATATTTTTGGCAGCTCATTCTCCCAGGAAGAACCCAAAACCCATTCTAAATCTTGGTGTAGTAAAATCATTCTATGCGAACCAGGATCTTCTTGTCGTGCTCCTCCTCCCATAATTTGATACTCCTCTGATAATTCTTCTGAAAAGAATACTTGAAGTACTTAAATCCTAGAATCGGCTAAGAGTTGTTGATTATGACATGTAAAATCAGTTTCTCGCCCAAAGGTTCGAGCTAATAGTGTCACTTTGTCAATTGTCGCTGCACATCTAATATAAAGCTTTGTTTTTTTACTGAAATCTTCTCCATTATAATTTGCATATTCTCTTTCAAAGATGACAATTCGAAGGAACTGTAAAACGCCATCAATTTTTCTTCAGATTCGAAAAATACAAGAATTGCACGCTTTGCATTGCGGATCACGTCAGTTTCTCCACGAATTTTCATGAAGTACTCAGTCACCTTCACTTCACGTGTATCAGTTTTAGAATTGTAAAAGCGCCTACAACTTCCAAATACTGATGACATAAAAGTGCTATTCTTTGCTACATACACTTTTTCTAGCATATGTTTTTCTGCTTAAGCAAATGTTCTCAACGTATCAGTTACACCAGTGATATAAACAAAATCATGAGGCATTTCAGCATAAGAAAAAGTTTCACAGCGTACAATTATACCCACATTCGCATCTCGACTACTCTGGCTAATACGGCCTCACGTGTTTTCGTAATACTATACCCAATCGTATCATAACCACGAACTACATTCTCTACTATAGATTCACTTTCAACATAGACAATCGAATCATTTTAAACAATATAGGTTGACGACTGAAACAATTGTAAAGCAACTATCCTATCCTTCACAGCTTCGTCGAGAAGAAAAGTTCAGTAACTGCAATGAATAGTACATGTTTTATACGGTAACATGACTTTGATATCTTTCAATGTTTGTATTGTTCTATGTTCTCAAATTGTATCTAACAATATGTTCATGACAGGATGTTTTACATATACCGAGAATGTGTATATCCCACCATACAAATTGTTGCTTAGAAAAACATCTACTTCATCAATCAATAATACTTTTCGACGCGTACGCTTTGTCTTTTCAGTTACAACGGAGAAATTTTTATCTTTTAAGATTATATCGCGCACTTTTTCTCGTACATCACATTGCTCATTCAATAAATTTCCATATAGTTTGTCAAAAGTATCATATTCAATACGTTCTTCTGTTTCGAGCGCCCTAAAAAGTGAAGCGAAATTTTTCTTATGTCAAAGGCTGAGAACTTCGCTATAACATGATCATTTAACATACACTCCAGTGAGAACAAAAACACAAGCAGTTGCTGTTATCACAACTGATTTATCTTCTCCCATTTCTATCTCTACCAAACTATTCACAAAATTTTTAGAGTTTGTGCCATTTTCATAACCAATATCAAGCATATTCACTAATCTTTTCCTTTGAAAATTACAAACTCGGACATCATTCTGGCACCAACATCTTGTTTTCGTGATGCATTAGTTAATTTATTAAGATCCGCACGTGCACTTTTTGCTTTAAATGCTTTTAGTGCTTCATCTATTTGTGCATAGATTTCAGTGTTAAACATTGATAGATTTGTAGCCAGCGATTTCATTTTTATTAATGTTTCAGCGGCTGTTGTAATACTGTTATCCGATTCGCAAATACTTTACACAAAGATGTAACGTTTTCGAAAAATTTTTCCTTAGATGCGTCCAATTTTAATGACATTTTAAGAAGTCGTTTTCAAGTTTCTCGATGTTAGTTTTGAGTCTTTCTTCTGACTTGTCTACAGCCACTGAAGTTGCTAGAAAGTCGTTAAGTTTGGAATTGATCTCTTTTATTATACTGATTAATTTCTTAAGCTCACTGAAAAATCGATCACGCATTTCTTCAAATTGTGCCGTTTTGTCACAAATGACTTCGGCATCTAATGAGGCCTCTAAATAATATATTTTCTTTTCAAGTTCAAAAAATCAGATCGGCATACATGGGAAAATTTCCAAAGTTTACTAACAAAGTTCTCGCTGAATCATATTTATATTGAATGCGACGTTACTGAATTTGTTGTAAAAGTGTATTCCACCTCTTGGATATTATCAGAGCCTTTTGTAATTCGTCAATATTCATACTGCCAATGGCGCCTCGGTATTTTTCAAAATTTTCATGCGAATATTCGTATGCTTCCTGAAGTTCGTTGCTACATTCTTTACCGCAATTTTTGGTAGAAACTCTCGTCATCTGTTTTATCAAAGGTGTTAGAGAAATCGGCAAAATCGACTGTATTTCTAAAGGTTTCTTCAACAATTTCTGGGTTTTCAATCCTTGATATATGGGCAAGAGTTTTCGAGCAGTCTTCGAACCTTTGAATCGTCGAACTATGGGCATTGTCATAGACTGTTTGTGCTTCTGGAATATAACTAGATATAGATTCTCTATATTTTATGATTTTCTTCGTGATACCAAGAGCAGACTGCATATGATACCCATGTAAAAAACTCTGTACATTTGCCCAATAGGCTTGCAACCTTTTCAAAATTTCTATACGTAATATGTCAGAAAGTTCATCCATTTTTTGCTTTTCAAATCGCTTAGCAGGTGCGCCTATTTTTGTGATGATGTGTTGATCTTTGTCCACATTTTCGACACGCATCATTAACTCTTTTCTATATTCACTCAGATTACCTTCGAACATCCCAGCGAAGTCATTGCTATTCATTTGTGATATGAATTTCTGATGATATAATGGATTCTGGAAATAGGATGTTAGCAAATGTTGGTCATCAGTCGTTATTTGAATAGCCACTTCACGTAAGACCATGTCGACATTGCTAGCATTTGTCCCTTTTTCGATCCTGACAAAAGCTGTGTGTGGGCTCAGGATCTTGTGCTTGAGCGACAGTTCGATGAACCTGTTCTTGGTTGTATCTTTCTCATCGACATTTGGTGTCGTTCTCGATTGAGAGTGTTCCTGAAATCGAGTTTGTAACGAACCAGTACTATTCTTTTGTGGAAGTTTAGAATAGTGTAGTTCGAGAATGAGAGCTTTAACAGCGAGTCGAGCAATAGTACTGTCGCTGCTAATACTTGGAACGCGAATGATCTTCGCTTCACCGATTCGATGTTTATCTGTATACAATTCTACAGTTGAATTGTGATCGAATAAGTATGTTAAATTATCGATCGGTGCATAGATAATAAGACGGTCATTGGCATAAACTGGTGGTGGTTTTCTTCGAACACTCATGATTGGGATGCTCAAATTTCATTTGATCTGTACGTTTGTAATACAAGATGGTAGAGCCCTTTCTAGCTGTTCACCAACATAGGTATCGACAGAGTCGTTGGACGGAATGAAAACGAAACGGCCATTTATTGTCCGAGCGAGACCTTTAACCAACGAACGACTTGCTGAATAGCCTAAGTCACACGAAAAGATCCGTGTTGAGCTCGCCATCGAACGGCACATGTTGAGCACTTCATCAACATTGGAAATTTCTCCGTCGGTCAAAAGAAATATTTGCCGAGAACGATCTTCTCGTGGCGGATGTTCTTCAAGCCATTAAAGTGGGCGTAACTATAATAGAAATGATTGATTAATCATTGAGAGAGGTAGCAAAACATCAATCTTACCAAATCTGTGCCGCCTAAATCTGCTTGCATGTGGTTTGCTAAATTTTCGGCTTTTCCGGAATTTTCTTCGTTATGAACTGTTGTAACATCATTGGCAAGTGCCTTATAATTCGATCCGAATCAAACAATATTGAACTGACTCTCAATCGGCAAACGTTTAAGAAAGAGCTGCAATGTCTGACACGCTAGTCCAATCTTATTCTGATGGTTCATCGATCCGTTGCAGTCGACGACAAAATGAACTCATTGGTTGTGCCCACGTTATTCATTGAAAGTTGGCAATCTTCTTTGATAGGTAGAAACGAAACCATAACTGCACCAGACTCCACAGCAACAATAGCATTCGAATGATTTTCAATCAACTCTAGATCGACAAGAATATCTCGATCCAAATGAGTGTTTGGTTGAGCAAATGTGATGAGATAAGCATTTTCTTGATCGTTATGAATTTGAATAGGATGCGACATCGAGCTGACTCGTGAAATGCCGACTTTGTCAATTCGAGAGCGAAATTCTATAGTGTATGAACTTATTTGAACATACGCCGATGTGGTGCCAGTTGATGAATTAAGATTATCCTTATTGGGATTATATCGAAGTGCAATGGTAGTTGGAACAACAAAATAAATTTTTTTCCATTTTGCACAAGATCCAATTCGAAGACATAAGAAATCGAGATATGGCATTCTTTTTCCGGTGGCAACGTATCCACATTGATAACAAAATTGTTCTGTGATTTTTCGTCTTGCTCGAGTAAATAAGCGCTATACCCTTGGTGTAGAGCATCGCTATATTCTTTCTGCGCTTCTTTCTTCTCTTTCAATTCAGCAACAATTTCTTGACCGTCAATATGAGCAACAAAAGCGATCACTGCTGCTTGTTCTTCGATCGGAAAGCAGTACACAGCTTCGATCGATGTTTTTTCATCGTTCCGAAAGATTGTTTTGATTGTGACTTCAACAGCAAATGATCTAATGCTAGCGTCGGCACTCACTCGTTCCAGTGGCACGTACTGTTGCTCTTCTACTTGATCAATTGAGTTGGCCCGATCTCGTTTGATTTGGAGCATGCTAAGACAAAGAATCTTTGATATACTTACTAATGTATGTTTATATAGCCAACTCCGGCAATATGAGAAATCTTCAAATAAGGATATGGGTGGGTGTGGGTGAGGATGGGTGTGAGTATGGGTGTGGATTTGTGTGTCGTTGTAAGGTGGGGGATGCGAGTGTGATCTTTTCTAATGAGTCACATCTCACACCTTCCGCCATCACAAGGGGCTGATTTGGACATAGGACGTCTTCCGTCAGGATTTGACTTTTTCGTGAAAGGATTCGCACTGAAGCTGGTTTCAACTAAACCTCTATAAGCTCTATCAACTAGACTCATTTTCTTCTCGAAACAAACCTTTTTTGCCAACAAAAACTCTTTTTTCCTATCACAAAATACCCCTAAAAATCAAAAAAGAAGAGAAAAAGCTGTCGCGATTCGCTCAACCGTTGGTTCCAAGAAAACCATTAGTGATTTCAAATAGAAATCGACGAGCTCTATCGAATTGGCGCCTTAAAAGTTAGATTAGATGCTCAGAGATCTAAAAAATCGGTCAATTCCGGTCCTTAACCAGGTTTTTTTACTATGAGCGATCGCCATTCGCTCTCATACTAGTTCCAACAAAAACAATGTGGAATTTAGGCAGAACTCGACCAGTTCTATCGAATGAATACCTTGAAAGTGCGATACAGTGCTCCTGGTTTCGAGAAACGGCCAAACCAAATCTTCATACCGATGAGTTTTCCTAAAACCTTCGGTGACTCACTTAGGAATTTTATTCAATATAATCATGGTGCTTTCCAAGTAGATCTTGACGAACTCTGTAGATTTCACACTGTTTGAGTTCGATTCGATTCTTCCATGTCTAAGAAAACGGTCATTTTTAGCCCTAAATCCATTTTTTTTGCGAAGATGTGTTCTTTTTCGTGTTAATAGCTTTCACGAAAATCATTATGCACGAAAGTAGAAGCGATTGAAGTCTATCAATTACAAATCGGATCAGTAACGTAGATATCGACAAGCATTGAGATAATTTGTCATTTTTTCTTCCGTTTGGTTAAAATTCTGCAGCAAGTTTTTCTAGTTGTATTCTATTTCCACCAATAACAACAACAGATAAGAAAGAGGGCGAAATTCTTCATTCGACGTTTATCTTGATTTTCATGCAGATACATATACATATGCGAAGGTAGGAAAACAATTAATTGGCCGATATAATTCGATAAAAGTTGAGGAGAGAAGAAAGGCGTTTTCTTTTATAAGTTCTCTCTCGTTTCGTCGTCTGATTCACATATATGGATATGAGAAAGCAAAAAAATTCATTGGGTCTCAGGCCAATGATTCTGGTGTTTTTCTGTCGGAACCGATCCGTTTTTGTCGATCTGGAGCGATTTAATTCTATGAATGGCGAGGAATGAATGAAAACAGGGCGCTACTTTGTGAAGTGTATATTTATGCAGAGGAAAAGAAAATAATTCCATTGGCTGATTCTTATTGATCAATCACAAAGCAAGAACAAACAAACGAGTGATTCATTGTATTTGATCGTCTTAACATTTTTATTATCTGCTGTTTTAGACAGATTATAGGTGCAATGGAAAATTATCTGTATGAAAATAATTTATTTCGTTATTGCAAATACTAAGAGTCTTTATTCAAGATGCTGCTGTAGGAGAATTTTCATTTGTCACGTTTTGTCGATCAATTATATTTTCTTGTTCTAGATATGATAAATTCTATAAGAGAATTATTAGAAAGGAAACTGTTGATTACAAATTCTCGAATGAATAATTATGTTAAATTTTAAAAATTTTTAATCTTCGAATTATTATTTTTTTGGTATCATATTTCTTATGCAACAATAATAACATACTAAAGGTACAATGAAATATTATTTTTATCGAACTCATTAATTATTTTATTCTAGCTATGATGAATTTTATTTTACAACTATTACCAAGCAAGTTTTTGAACATAAATTTTCGAATAAATGATTATATTCATTTTCTTAATCTTCGAAATATTATTTTTTTCGTATTACATTCCTTATAATACAATCATTACATATTACTGGTAGAGTGGATTATTACTTTTGTCGACTTCACTTATCTGTTTTTATAGGTGTTATCAGTTCTTGCTCGCAATGATATTGTATCTTGATGTACATTTTAGACGTTCCGTTGAAGAGTAAAAATAATCAATTATTTTGATATTTCAACATATGATTCATTTGCTTTCTGAACTATTTTGGAATAATTAACATAGTGTAAGGTTACAACAAATAGGTTTCTTTCCAGTAATTTTTTTCTGAACATTTTTGTTATTCTATAACAATTATTCTGCAGTACAATCTGACTTTTAAATATTTACTCAAGGAATAGGTTTCTCATTTATTTTATTTTTTTTTGCTGTGAATATTATTTATTTGTCCAACAAATTGTTACTATTTAACTGGCGGTTGAACGAATCGCAACAAATTTTTGTGCTCTTTTTTGGTTTTTAGGGATGTTTTTTTGCTAGTAAAAAAGAGTTTTATTGAGAAGAAAGGTTTATTTCAAGAAAAAAAAACTAGTGCAGTCGATAGAAATCATTGAGGTAGTGGCGGAGCTAGGAATTTTGGACGGGGGGGGGGGGGGGGTTGGTGGGCAAAGGGGAAA